CCCAGCCCACCCCTCCCTCCGCCCCTGCGAGGAACTTTCCAACGTGAGCAACACTATCCAGTCGCGATTTCCTTCTGGTCATCATCTCAACCTCCGGTGTTAAGGCCCACGTGATACACACCATTATGTTTACTTTATAGTTTTGCATTTTAATTTTTGACTATCTACTGCTTTGTACGATATGGGTATTGAAGGACTTGTGCATGCATAAAATATGCTATTAACACTCTTTATGTTACTGGAATGCAGGGAGACGAAATTCATGGAGAAAACATCATCACAACTGAAGGCAAAAACCTGGCCCTGAGTAAATGGCTGGGCATGTAACACTACAACTATAGTGTTAATTTTATGAAGCAGAAGCATTCACTTCTGTTTATTTAGTATTGTCATTCTGTTGATTTTGTTGCAGCACATGAAATTATGGAAGACATGAATGAAGATCCTTTAGTGCAGTCCGATAATGAAATAGTTGCAGACAATATCAACATTGTGGAGGACGAAACGTTAGGAGAAGATGGAGAGAATATGCCCGAGGTGGGTATGACGTTCAATGATGAAAAAAAGTTGTTTGATTTTTATAAAAGATATGCTTACACAGTAGGTTTTCTAGTTAGGAAAATGATTTCAAAAAAGGGGCATGATGGATTTGTTAGATATGTGATGTTCACATGTAGCCGAAAAGGCCGAAGAAGCAGTAATACAAGCATATCTTTAAAGCCGCAACCAACAAGTCAGATAGATTGTAAAGTGAGGATATCTGCATACATGGAGAATTAACGCCCTTCACCTCGAGCACAATCATAAAACAAGCCCTTCAAAGTCAAGGTTGTATCGATGCAACCGATAATTGAGTGCAAATGTGAAACGAAAGCTCGAATTGAATGATATGGGAGTAATTCCATTGCATAAAAGTTACAACTCTGCAGTTATGGAAGCATGTGAGTATGAGAGTATCACTTGCGTAGAAAAGGATTATCGCAAACTATATCGAACAAGTAAGATGGTTATGACTCAGAGAAGGAGATGCCGCAGCATTATAATCCTACTTTTCAAAGATGCAAGCACGGTGTTCTGGATTTTTCTTCAGTATGGATTGATCCTTTGATTTCCCACGAGTGAATGAGATCATGAACAAGTAATAAAGTAGTGAATAGAGTGTCGAACCCCACGAGGACTACGTGTATGATCGAATTGAATAGCAAACAAAATTTGTGATTTTTTTATACTAGTCCCTAAATCATCAATTAAACTAATGAAAGTAAGTAGATGTGTTTTTCAAATATGTGAGATGTATTGCTAAGATTTCGAATTCCCCTCGTTATTCCATTTTTAGTGTAATTATTAAAGTGATAATTTGAAATTATTTATGTTGATCAATGTTCCTAATTTAATTAAAGTCTTACTCGATAGTGATCAAATCTATTCCCCTAATGTGACTCTTCCATCTCTCGATTAAATATGCAAACATGATAAATTCATTAACAAGTATTAGAACACCTATTGAAACCATATAAAGTATAGAGGTATATCTCTATCCTCTATCGAATCTTACAATATTTATTATAATGTGCTTAAACCCTACTGTTTCTCTCGATAACAACAAAATTCACTAACAATTCAATTGTGATCAAACAATTGAAAAGAATGATAAAACGATAATAAACATCCACTATGTTTATTATGATGTGCTTAAACCCTATCGTCTCTCTCGATAACAATAAAATCCACTAACAATTCAATTGGTGATCAAACAATTGAAAAGAACGATAAAAACGATAATAAACATCCACAAATCAAATCAAATCAAATTAAAGTCAAAATAATTAATTAAAAACTAAAAATATCATAATAAGGGTTCATCTCATCCTAACAATGTATAAAATTAGCATAACATATCGAAATTACAAGAACTTATATTTAAGTAAAAAGACATAATATGGATTTTTGATAAATTGAGAAGATGAAGATGAATCTTGAAATTTTGAATTTCTTCAATAGTCTCTTGATGAATCTCCACTTGCGCCTTCTCTTCATTACCCAAAAATCAAGTTTGAATCTTCACTTGATTGAATTCTTGCAAATACCCTTCAATTCTCTAACAAAAATTATGAATTTTCCTCATATGATGATAATAATTGATGAATATTGGAGTATAATATATATATAAGAGGTCCTCCATATGTATTCCACTGTTAGGTATTTGTAGAAGTAGAAAATTAGTTGAAAATCACGTCCAAATTGGTTTTCAAGAGAGTTTCAATCGAATAAGGAAAGTTTCATTCACGCATGGATTTTTTGTCTCTACACAGTAGTCAGTATTTTTGACATAAATTTCTCTCCCGATATTTTATTGAGACAATTCAAAGTGTGTTTGAAATATAACTAAAAGGGATACAACTTTGATAGAAATATAAGTTTTCCAATTCTGACGTTTACTATGCCAAAAATGGATCTCAATCTTCGACTAAAAATCTGGAATATAACTTGTATGATTGGAAATTGATTTTGATAATATTTTGACCATATTCCGTTCCTTTTTGAATTCTAATTCCATCCAATCGTCTCCTAACAATCTTCAAAGTATCATCTTGTGTCTGAATCAACTATTGAATAATTATAATTTGGTCTTCAAACTTTGAATTTTGTTCATTTTCACCAATTTTCGCTTCTTTCTTTCGATTCCTCGTTCAATCATTAAGTTTTTTCTATATAAAATAAAATACAACAATTTATGATATATTTTTTCAAAAGAACTATCAAATATTACTATTTTAAACCCCGGATAAGTGTATAAAATACACTTATCATGGATGTAGACGACGGGTTACGACTTAATAATGTATTTTGGGCAGATAATAGGTGTAAGCAAACGTACAAACAATTCAGTGATGTTGTCACCTTTGATACCACATATCTCACGAATAAATACAATATGCCTTTTACCCATTTTGTTGGCATGAATCATCAAGAACAATTAACACTGTTTGGTTGTAGTTTGTTATCAAATGAGGATACATGTACGTTGGGTGGCTTTTTAGGACATTGTTACAGTGTATGCATGGTCAACCTCCTCCACAGGATAATTATCAATCAAAATAGGGCTATGCAAAATGCAATTGAGATTGTTTTTACATATACTAGATATAGAAGGTGTTTGTGGCACTCTATGAAGAAGCTACTAGAAAAGTTTGGCTACCACATTCATAAAAGATTGATATTCTCGGCTATACACAGATTGGTCTATGATTACCAAACTATTGATGAATTTGAAGAAGGTTGGACAGTGATGATCGATAGTTATGACTTGTAGGATAATGATTGGTTGTCGAGACTTTAATAGAACAGAGGTCTTTGAATTCCTTATTATTTGAAGACCACTTTCTAGGCAGGTATGTCCACAATACAACAAAGTGAGAGTATGAATGCCTTTTTTTATGAATACGTCCATTCAAAAACTTCGTTGAAGCAGTTTGTTGAACAGTATAAAAGAGCACTGAGGAATAAAGTTGAACAACGTGGAACAACGCTAATTGTTGTTCAACTTAACAACCGAGATCACATCTCTTGGGGAGAACTTCAATCTACATTGATGACTTATGAAAGTCGACTGGAACCCCGCATTTCAATCAGAAATGAAATGGAAAGTTTGAACCTTGATCAAACCTTAGCCAATATATCTCAGAGATCAAGTTTTGGTCACAATCACTTCAGGTCTAATAGGCCAGATATGGGAGGAAGATTCACAAATTTTAGGTAGAAGCAGGGAAGCCAATTCATTTGGAGGTAACAGATAAATTTGCCAAGTTTGTGGAAAGGTTGGTCACAAGACAAACATCTGTAACTTTAGTTATGATGAACAATACACTGGCATTTTAGCAAACCAGAGGACAAACTACAATTCACCACCTGCAGTCCTCTAGCATCTCTAAACATAGCGAGTGATCCAATATGGTTTGCTGACACAGGAGCTAGCAACCACATTACATCTAAAAAGGGTAACATTGCTTCAGGAAGAGAGTACTCTGGTAAGGAGAAAATGGGAAATGGAAGTAAGTTGAATATTTCACATTCTGGAACTTCACATATTTCTGCCCTAAATGATAAAACACTAGTGTTAAACAAATTACTACTTGTGCCAGAAATATAGAAGAATCTGATTAGTGTATCACAACTGACCTCAGACAACAAAGCTTTCATGGAATTTCACCCTACTTGTTGTTTTGTTAAGGACATGTTAACGAAGGAGGTGATGCTACAAGGGAGGCTTAAGGATGGGTTGTATCAGTTGGATTTCTCTCATCAAAACATCAAGCAAAATCCACACTAGTCAAGTCTTCCAAAATACTGGTGGGACTCTTTCCATACTGCCACTTACCTCATAAATAGACTGCCAATCCTACTCTCAAACTACAATCTCCCTATCAAACCCTATACAAAAAAAACCTAATTATAGAGCTTTAAAGACGTTTGGATGTGCCTATTATCCCTACTTAAGGCCATATCAGAAATAAAAATTCAGTTTTCACTCAACAAAATGCATCTTCCTTGGTTATAGTGATGCTCACAAAGGGTACAAGTGTCTGAACTTTTCAGGTAAACTATACATCTCAAGATATGTTGTTTTCAATGAGCTTGAGATTCCTTTCGAGTCATTGTTCAATGTCAAAAACCAATCTTAGTCTGCAGCACCTGAAATAATTGTTCCTTATATCTATCTTCCAACTGATCCAAACAACTCTGTCACCACTCTGATAAGTGTGTTTTTCACACTTATTTAATATTTAAACTAAACTTATTATTGATTAAATTAATGAATTTCTACTCACAATGTGTAATTTGTGTTTTTGTAGGCCTAAGATCACCCATGGAAAGAGAACAAGACAAAAGGAGGAAAAAAGAACCAAAATTGTGCAAAAATTATGAAGTTGGGGACCAAAGTGCACAAGTACTGAAAGTTGAGGGACTTAGCTTCAAATAGCACAAAAAACCCATTTTCCTTGGTGGAAACAGAGGCTGGGGTGCTGCAGGCCCACTGTTCCAGTGCTGCAGCGCCACTTTTAATTTTTTTTGAAACTTCGGGGACAATTTTGTCACTTTCCAAAACTTCAAGGACCTGGGCTGCAATTTTTCTAGGTTCTAATTTTAAAACCTGTTCTGGGTAGCAGCAGCAGGGGCGTTTTTTTCTGGGTCTTCAGTGGTAGTGTTTCGGAGTTTTTCTCTTCATTTTTCAATTTTTTTACTTTCTCTTTCCTTCCTTCTTCTTTCTTTAATTTCTTTTGGTATTTTTGAATAAAGATT